TATCATATTGGGGTAATTTCTATAAGTTATAGAGTTCAGTTATTTCTTGTTATCTGTTATTCTTTGTTATCATCACTTCTTGTTTCTGTTATTGATGTATCTTTGACTCATTTGAACAGGTTATTTTCTGTAATAACTGGTGTATACTTTAGAAAGGAGATAGCCACCTCAGTCTTCATAGAATCAAGTTTATTACTATAGTAAGTTTAATATATCAGCAATGAGACAAATCATTTACTATGTACCAGATTTTATGCTAAAAATCTGTATATATCTTTTACTTACTGTTCACACAAACCTGAAAATCAGGAATTTTCCCACTGATTTGAGAAATGAAGCCACAAATATATATCGTAAATATTTTCAATATTTTCTGTTATATTTTATTTTTTGTGTATGGGATGTCTATGTATGTGTATGGTCGTGTCAGAGATCAATGTTGGGTATCTCCCAATATCACTCTTCCCCTTAGATTTTAAAGGCCCAAGATTGTTATTAGGTATCTTCCTTGATTGCTTTCCACCTTATTTTGGGGGACAGGATCTCTCACTGAATCTTGAGCTCAGTTTCAAATAGATTGCCTGGCTGAAATATCTGGGATTTACCTGTCCCCACTTGCCAAGCATTGGTGTTACAGAGAAGCCATCATACCTGTTTCCCTGTGGGAGATGGGAATCCCAAGCCTGGTCATGAGAACTCAGATTGTCATGATATGCAGAAAGCTCGTCAACAGTTGAGCCGTCTCCCAGCCCCTAATTCCACTATAATAAAGTAGTGTAATGGTAGAACCTAGTCTTTCCTCTACTTCTTTCTCTACTCCAAACTGCAAACATATTATTGTGTTAATAGAGGACTTCAACATTCCCACCTCTCAGGCGATTCCAAGCTATAAAGGATAAGGCAAGACAAAATCTCCCCAACTCATAACTGTAGAGTCGGGTGTTTCTTAAGTTAGGTGTGACCCAGTTAGTAAGAGATGATACAGCATCTCCACAGAAGACCACATTAAGATACCCATTAAAATGATGCATTGTGGTCATCAGATAAATAAAAGAGTTTTGCTAAATTATATGAAAACTTTACATAAATCTCATCAAATTACTTTCTATATCACCTCAAAAACAGTAAAATGCTAAAGTAATACCATTTATTTGCTGATAGAGTTTTTATTTTTCATTTTCAGCATAAAAATAGCACTTAAGCATTCCATGATGATTAATATTCTTTCCATAACGACTGGAGAAAACATAAAATGCTTAAAATTTTTCTAATGTAGGATCTTAAGAAAAGTTCCATTTTTTAAAGTGTGCTAGGAATTGAACCTAGATTGCCATGCATGATAAGCAAGCATGCTTTATCACTGAGCAGTACACCCAAAACCACACATATGCATAAATGTGTGCATAAAAAAATCACTATTTGTTATGTAGTAGGCATTGTTAAAATATTTACGTATTTAAATTCTTAATAGCTTAGATTCAAGGAAATGTGAATAACTACAAGTTCTAAAAGTTGTATGAATCTATTTTGTATCTTTGCTCATAATTAGGTGACTGAGTGTCAAGTTGCACATTTCATGGGATTTTGAGAGCATAGTTTATGCAATTTTTCAGCATTTGGATTTACAACTCCAAATATTCAAAATGCTTGTTAGAAATAAAACCCATAATGTATGAAGTCAGGTTTTACAGAAGGTGGGGATGAAAAGAGATAACTTTCCAGCCAGCAAGATGCCCTGGCTGTCACCCTCTGGTTTTGTTCTATTATTGGGTGAGTATAGATTAATATACTTGCCTCCACTGTGACAATATATAATGAACACGATTACTGGGATAATTTAGAAACAGAATACATTTAATCTTCTGTTCAAATCAACCAATTATAATACATAGGTTATGGAATGTTCTATGATTGTGCATAGACTTGTGAGTAGAACTGATGTTAGTTAAATATGACTGGGAAAGTGTGGAACCTAATATCTTACTCATATATTACACGGGCTATGAAAATTTATCATGTATTTTATTAGCTAATCCAAACATACCATTTTGAGTATTGTAGCTAAGGAGAAAATACTCTAGTAAATAGGAATCCATTTTTCCTCTTGGAGAAAGTGGAGTTACGGAGTTTCCAAATGCAGTAGCCTGTGAAAATCAGTGGCACAGTCCAAAAAGAAACATTGCACAACAAACTCCTGTAGGTCAGTTCCTCTTTTCCTATAGTAGAGAAACATTTGTGTTTCAAAACATGCTAAGGATAGTTATTACCTTAAAGCGGTATTCATTTGCTGAGTTTAAAGGTCATTTAAAATTTATTAGCCAGTCATGCTGCTTTGTTACAACTTGCTGTCGTATTATTGTGTCAGGAAACCTTATAGGCAATGAAACGTTATACGGAAAACTTACAGTCCACACAATTTTTAGGTTATTCTTTCTCTGGAGTCCTTGTTTTGGGGAAAAATGTGAACTTGAAGTTACTTAAAAAGCTAGGTAAAAAGGGAGGGTGTTTCAGAAGTGTATCAAAAATAGCAACGTGTGTTTTTCTAGGCATTTGGTGACTAAGATCGGGCTATGTGACTGAACAGCCACTTGACTGAGTTTGAAGTTGCACTGTCATTGGTTGGCTTCCTCAGTAACCACTGGCTAACAGCAGTATCCGAGTCAGCACCACGGATAGCTCCACTAATTTTTGCATCTGGAAGAGGAGCTCTTCTTGCAAGCCCAGCTGCAGTTAGGGAACAGAATGACAGAATGATCTACTTATAAAATAAAAGAAGATAGAATAAACCATGCTTTGGGAAAAAGTGTGTGTCCTCAATATTACAAGGGACGCAACTGTACAGATTCAGGAAAATTCAAGCTAATTAACTAGAAAATTCAACTTTTCCAGGCACTCACCATTTCACTTCATTGTTTTCAATACTTTCATGTGCAATAATTAGAATTCCTTGGGTTCTTGTTTTTAATTTGGATTTTGGGGGCTGTATGTTTTATGGAACGTATGAAGTGTTATGTTAGTCTCCTATTTCCTACAAAATTGTTGATTCACCTTCCTAAACTAACCTTGCCTCTTGGCACTTAGTTTCAGTCTCACTATTTCGCTTCAGAGGTGAGCTATAACTAACAAAACATGAACCCAACTGACTCAGACAAAGCAGAACAGTGGGCTGCACTCTGACCTATCAGAGACCCTCTAGCATTCAGCTAGCTACACGCCCTGATGGAAGTCTATGGACCTTTATTGCCAGAAAGAAACAAGAGGTTTGTCCATGCTCTCTTTTGTAGAATGAAACGGTGGCAGATACAGACAGGAGTGTAGCTGCGGCTATTACAGGTGACAGCATCAATGAAGGGAAAGAAGAAAGAGGGGAGAAAAGGAAACCTGGAAAAAACAACTTTGAAAAGATGTTTTCCTGGCACAGCTTGCCTTAAGTCTTCGGGAGTATTTGTCCGAAGTATGTGTAAGCCAGGAGGAGATTCTCACATTGGAAGACTGTGAGAAGCACGAACGACGAGATCTCGATGTTGTCCTTTGAATCTCTCTTCCTGTCGTTTGCAAGCGCTCCCTTAGAAAAGATGAGAAAGCTGAAAGAATTGGCTAGTGTGTTTAGAAGGTAAGTAGCAAGGGAGGTCACTTCAAGGCTGCGAACTCTTAGCCCCACCCACCTTTTGTTCCTTCTCCCTGGCGCCCAGCCTCACCCGGTCCGAACTCTTGCCTTGTTTTGTACCATTTGTTTACACTGTCTTTGGCCTTATCATCCTCCTGGCAACCCCTAGCGCCTGGAGACCCAGTCACCCCTCAAACGTTGCAACTCCTCGGGGACTCCCTCGGGGAAACCCGGCATGCTCAGCGGTGCTGACATCCTTCAGTCTTTCAGAGGCTTAGCTCAGCGCTGGATAGGCTGGGTTTCATTCAGGGATCACCCCTGGCGTGCTCAGGTGTCCGAGCTGGACCCTGAAATTGCTCCTGCGCTCTTAGGTGGCGCATCTTAAATCTTCAACATTCTGAGCGCCAGCAGAGCTTTGAAACACTCATTGAAGGGCTAGCTTCCCACCTGTATTTTCTTTGCAGCTGAGGGTGTGTTAGCTCCCTCGGTGCGAGGCGCTTAAGGATGAAGCCCTGTGGCTAGTGGCGTTGGAGATCACCTTCCCAGAGTAGCTGTTTTATCACTGAGTTTTGGAGATTTCTTGGCTGCCTTCCGCTAAGGCACGCTTGAGTAACCCGAGCTGTGGCGGCGCCCAAGCTCCCAGGATAAAGGCTGTGTGTGTGTGTGTGTGTGTGTGTGTGTGTGTGTGTGTGTGTGTGTGTGTGTGTGTGTGTGTAGGGGGAGAGGGCGGGGGGGGTCCCATAGTGGAGCAAGAACCCTGCCCAGGAGGACTAAAGGCCGCCTGCCAGTGGGCTGACAAGTCTTCCACCCCACCCCACCCCCGCCCACCAGCAATCCTTGGGGCTCTGGGCAACAGCCAGGTTAAGCCCATTTGCACTGGGAAATTGGCG